TGTAAGATATAGATTGGATGGTTCCAAAATTGTGAAGGTCAGGATATTCTAAAATTTATTTACTTTTCGTTTGCTTTTACGCTCTCATTTGATACAATAGAAACTATTCCGTATTATGAAACACAATTTTTGTGCTTATTCTAGTTCTTACAATTTTACGCCAATTTATTATCTTCCATACTACCTTTGTTCATATATTTTCTCGTCTGATTGATTAAAAATGATATCTTCTATGACCCTTATTGCCAAAAATGATCATATTATGCAGATTTTCCTTGACCCAAAGGAGCGCAACAACACCGAGTACAAGCTGGAGACCTTTTCAGGAGTCTACCGCAAACTGTGTGGGAAGGATGTTGTGTTTGAATATCCAGTAACAGAGAGTGCCTGAAGCACTCTCTTTTCAGGTTATTTAAATTATTTAGCTATGGATTCTCAAGCAGGGACAATTTAGCGAAGAATTTCGTAATTACAGGTATTTGGAATGTTGTTGTATTTTTATGTTTGTTTTTGCAAATTGTTTGTTTGGTTCTGGATATTGAGCGCACTATTTCCTTAATTTTTGTTGGAATGCTTATTTAAACATTCAAGAGTTATTTTGAATTACACCATAATGCAGCTTGGATTTGTTGTTTAAGGGGTTTTTTCAACGTATCTGAACTTCAGTTTTCTCATTAAGTACTTATACATACAATATTGTGCTTAATATGCTTGCATTCAAATTAAAAATTTTAATTTTTTACTAGAAAGCTGCTTTAAGAAGCAACAAGCCTAGTTTTTTTTTTTTTAATAATATTAGTTATTGAGGAGTATTATTAAATACAAGAACCAACAATAGCAAGTTAGTAGTGAAAATCTCCCAAAGATGGCCAAAGGGCTAAGCCTTAAATTAATTTTACTAACATTTTGAGTTCTAGGAATGCAACTTCTTGATTTAAGTGATGAGAAAAAGAGAGAAAAATCAACATGCAATACACCATGAAAGATGTTTACGACTAGGCTTTTTAAATTCATCCTTTATAATCGGATTATATTTCATGTTTTAAAGAATCTTTTTTTTTTTGTGTTTTTGAAAGAAAAACAGACCAAATTAGTGATTATTGGCAGAATGATAAGTACTATAGCAGTTGACTATGAACATTAGATGTTAGGTGATAATCGGTGTTTTGCTTGGTCGTCCATCTTGTTGAAGACTAGGTTATTAATTAGACAAATAACTGTTAATGCACCAATTTCGTGTGTGCATTGAAAATTGGGGACATTAGGTGATAGTGAATTAACATCATCTAATGAATGATGATGATACAACTTGAACCTTAAAAATCAACGAACAAACCACAAATTTCAATAAACTAATACATTTTTTATTGATAGGAAAATAAATACGATCAAGCAAGATATAATGGTCCTCTTTTGATAGGACATTCTCTCTCAATTTTAGACGTCGTTAGAATCCTTCACAAAAATAGTAGACAACAAACATTCACAAAATTCATCAATAACTTGCTATAAAACTCAGGACAACTACCCCTTAAATAGCCATATAACACAATAATATAAATAGAGTTTTCCGAAATAATTAAACATAATTTAGTAAACATTCTTAAATAGATAAACATGATTTAGGAAATCTTACTAAATAAATTCAACATAATTTAGGAAACCTTCCTAAATAATTCAACATAATTTAGGGAACCTTCCTAAATAATTCTACATAATTTAGGGAACCTTCCTAAATAATTCTACATAATTTAGGAAGCCTTCCTAAATAAATTAAACATAATTTAGAAAATATTCCTAAAGTGTATCAATACTTCTCTCTCAAAGAACCACATTGTCCTCAAGGTATAAGGATAGGAAATATCTCCTGATCACTTATTTTAACAACAAAATATGCTTCCTGTCGAGAACCACTTAGCACTTGATCCAATTTTATACCCTTCATTATATGCTCATGCTTCACTCTAGAGAATATACTATCATTCAACAGTTTAACATCTTTGCCAATAGCTTCACTTTTTATCCACTTGCTCTAGTCATTCCAGTCATCAATTATTTTTTTCAACTCAAATATAAAAAGGTTAAAAAGAAATGGCGCAAAAAATCAATTGGCAACAAAGAACCACATGGATGCAGTGACAAGCATAGAAGTTGTTGAATAAGTAGTTGTATCTATATATTTTGCTTTGCCATGTAGGATTATCCGTCCAAAATAATGTGATTTTGTTCCGAGCAAGATTGTAAAGAACACTAAGTACAATTGAAGTTGTATGATGATTATGTCGCCCAACGCCCAATGCAATTTTGAATTTCCTTTTCAGCCCAATCTCCATAACCATGAGTAAGGCCATCAATATATCAAGTTGGACGACAGATTGATATGTCATAACAACCTATAAATGATTATTTCCTCTCATTAGTGCTTGCTTTATAACGACATACTCAAGCCCACTTAATGACATGTAAGGCTTGCCATAGAGAAAAAGGGGGATTATGATAACAATCATCATTGAGCTGACATAGAACCCTACAATCATGAAGTATTAAGAAAGCATGTGGAACAAGTCAAACTGGTGGCCCAAGCAATAGATATCTCTGCTAAGTATTTACTCTCCATTGCTACCGACAAGCTTTGCTTCAAATAGAGAGATTTGGTTGAGTCCAACATCATGACCCTTCCCAACCTGAATATACTCTTGGTGGGTGATATTTCATTGCCTCAATGTCGAATTGAAACCTGCAAAGATATCCTCACTTAGGGTAATTCCACGAGAAGCCTTGCTTATGCCACCTCTAATGATGTGAAAATTCATGTTAGATACATTTGGATGCTCGATGGGAAGCGGATCTTCAATGGAGTAGCCAGAACCCTTTGTCCGATTGTCTCAAAAGTTATTTCTTGGTTTGTCATGAACCATCTCAAAGATGAAATACTTCCTGCAAAAATGTGCTCACATACACCAAGAATGGTTGGTGGGTGCAGTCCATGTCTTCATTGAATTTCTCCAAAAGATTCCTCATTTTCAAAGCCTATTCTTAATAGTTATCATGGAGAGGCTCCCCTCTGATAAAGACGACAGGATGGTTTTGATTTTCTGGCTCTCTTTTACCAATCTTTGCTGCTCTAGGTAATTTGATGAAGTAGATTTCCTGATCAACACCATCAGTTTGGCTTTGCGAGTTTATTTCTTTGCCCTCTTTTCCCTTGTTGATCTATTTATCCTTAGAAGAAGCTTGTGCATCACTTATTGAACTCTTAGTCTTCACCTCCTCAATCATTTGCATATTCAACTTTTTCACCCTAGGATCGCCACCACCCCAACTTCCTCCTCCTCAATTGTAGCAGTTTTCGTGATCCCTCTATGTTTCCCTTGTGTATCGAGGGTGGGACTCCTACCTTTCTTCCATTCGCCTCACATGACTTGATCCCCACAGCTCGGCCTGTCCCCTCCTCCGATCGTTCAATCCCCTGCCCAAAAAACCTCCCATAGTGGTCAACCACTCCACCTCCACATTAAAACTCCCTTCATGATGTCCCCTCATATGAAAACCCTATTTTCCCCCTTCTCAGAGCCCTAACTGAAGGCTCTTGATGAAATGAACTCTTTTCATCGAACTCTTCCAAACAACAAAAATTGACAACTTTGACACAAATCAGGCCTCCAAACAGCAAAATTAAGCAAACATAGAGGAAAAACTCGGCAGAAATCAGTGAGGAAAGCTTGATATTTCGGTCATGGACACCGCTCTGATACCAATTTGATATGCCTTCAATGCCAAAAATTAGCGAATAAGCTGTAAATTTCATCAAATTAGGGGTGTAAACGAGTCGAGTTTAGGACCTTTTGTAGTCGGCTCGTCACTTGAAAAGTGAGCTCGAACTCGAGTTGAGCTCGACAGGAGAGCTCGAGCCTGCTCGCTAGCCATGGGTGGGAATTTTAAAATTTAGGCAGGATTTTTTAAAATTAGGCGGGATTATTAAAACTTATGTGGGATTTTCAAAACTTAGTTAAAACTTAAAAAGAAAGATGAAATGTTTAGCATTTAAATAAAACTTAAAATGGTTTTTATTAATATTTTTAATATTTAAATTTAATATATAAAATAAAATTATTTTAAAAATATTAATATTTTTTCGAACTGGCTCGCGAGCTCATGAGCCGAGCCGACTCGAGCTTGTTTACTAAATGAGCTCGAACTCGAGCTCGAGCTCGACTCGTGAGCTCGATAAGCTCGGCTCACGAGCCCATAAATGAGTCGAGAGCTGGCTCGGCTCACTTACACCCCTACATCAAACTAACACTTTTTTTATTGATAGGAAAAGAAATGTGAACAAGTAGATACAATGATCCTCTTTTGAGAGGACATTCTCCCAAATTATAGACGCCGCTAGAATCCCTCACAAAAATACTGGACAATAAACACTAACAAAATTCATCAATAGCATGAACCTAAAAAATATGTTGGTTTGCCTAAATTTACTTCTTATTCATTGATTTTTTGGCATTCAAGGCAAATATTGTGGACATAAATATTAATTGACAGCAAACATCAGGAGCAGGCGAAAGTGCTCTAAAATTTTAAAAGACTAAAATTTTCGTCCATAAAATTAAAATTTTAATATAAATCTAAGTATAATTTCAACCTCATCCATGCTTGATATCAATCCAATTTGATTGGATTATTCTTGATGTATCATCAAAAAATTATCTTGATAGGGCACGAATCTCGAGGCAATATCGAGCCGAAAACTTCAAAAAATAAATCCGGGATCACTTGAATTCCGATTTCAGTAAACTTATAGTCAAATTGAGCGTCTCAGAAATACAAACTCAACGACACCAAATTTGACTCAATCCGAGCCCAAAGGAGTCCAAATCAAGCACCCGAAGCGCAATTAGAAAGTTCAAACCATAAATTGAGTTATCAAACGTTTTCCAAATAGGACGTTCTTATAATCGAATTGAGCGGCTCGACGAGACGAATCCAACGGACCCAAGATTGCCGAATTCCGACATCATTAAGACATTCAAATGTCTAACGAACGGTCCACAATCAAGGGATTCAATATCGGCCGTCCATCCGACCACTCCCTATTTACCCTTGATCTCTCACCTATTTACAAGTCATGCCACTCCAGAATATCTATAAATAGACCCCTCATTTCTCATGAGAGGGGACCCAAGCAAGAAGAAGAAGAGAAGAAGAGAAGAAGAAAAGAAAAAGAGAAGGATTGGAGGGAAGAAACTCCTCCACGACCGCCGCCAGAATTCTGCCCGACGCCCGAGCGACGTCGAATTTCTGACCGAAGCTCAAGTGACGTCAGAAATTTGCCCAAGTGACACCGGAATTCTGCCTAACGTTCGAGTGACGTCGAAATTCCACCCGATCTCCAAGTGACGCTGGAACTATGCTTGACGTTGTAATTGATTTTCAATCCAGAAGTGATTCATTGAAATCTGAACGTTCTAAATTTTAAGGACGAGCCAACCTCTTATATTTCAAGCAAACATTAGTGAAACTCTTTTAATTGGGCGTGACCCCGTGGTTTTTCCCATTTTAGGGTTTTCCACGTAAAAATCATGGTGTTATTATTTCTCCTATGTTTGTGTGCTAGATATCCGTACAACGCCGAGATGAAAAATTTCTAACTCTATCGCCGCGTATATTCTAGTCCGCAACAATTCTCATGTAAAGTTGGATCATATTTAAATTCTATTATGTTGCATTTGTGCTTAAAACTATCCTCACAAGAACCAGCAATTTAATTCACAAACCCTAAGTCAATCCTAACCATATTACCCTTACTTCATACCCTACATGAGTCTAGTGGAGACCAAGCTAACAAAGGACAAATTTAATAGCCTATATATCTCTCATCAATTCCAAATAAAGCGCTTAAAGGGACCATCTCCAGAGGAAACATGTAGAAAATAGTCAGGATGAGTACCCTTGCACTATAATAATACTACAAATGTAATCAAGAGGATCATACGAAGCAAGAAACATTGAAAGCTGCCCACGGCCAACTTGCACAGCAAGTTGCAAACCATCATAATTTAGAACAAATATTTAGCCAGAGAGAAATGATCAAATTGAAAATAAAGAAAAAAGATATAGAAGGATAGTGGACCCCTATAAAAAAAAAAAAAATACAACTTGCATTTCTTTTAAGCTTCAAGTTGTTGTCAAGGACCAACTTGCATGCCTGCAGGGCCTCACTTGATTCCCTTTTTCAGTGATCTTTTCTTTTTTTAATCCAACATGCTTCCCCATGCATGTGTCATTAACCAAGTCTATCAATTTTGTATTCACAATTTGGGTATTTTAAACTTCCTTTTTTTATTTTTTATTTTAAAAAAGTGAGCTATCATTATAATTATATTTAATTATTAATTTATTATCATTACTTTTAAATGAGAAATTATTATCTTGTTTTTAGAAAAAAGAAAATAATTGTGGTAATTACTATGAAAAATATTTTAAAATATTATTATGTATATTATTAAAATTTTTTAAATAGGATACAAGTTGTACAGACAATAAATTATAAAAATAAATTCTATAGAAATTAAAAAAGTAAAAAATGATCCTAAAAATTATAAAATTAAATATATTTAAAGAAGGTAAAAAATGGAAATATTTAAAACTCTTGCAGTTTTTTTAAGTTAAGCTTCTTGGCGTTAATTATTGTAGGAGTGGGCCATATTATAGTGATTAATTTAATAGGCCGATTATATCAGTCGGCCACCTAAAACGGACAAAAAATATGACGTTTTTCTTATTAGAAATCAATAAAGAAATTCTAATTATCACTTATTTATATATTAGAAGTCTTAGTAATAATTCTATAAAAAATTAATTCCTGGAATTTACATGATGCTTGTTAGTCCACCTAAAACCAATAAATTCTCATTTAGTCCGCGAAGAAATTTCATTAGGAAACTATTCATTTGCAGGATACTATTAAAAAAAATTTTATTCTAAAAAGAAGACAAATAAATCTAATTATTTTCAAAATAAATTAAACTATTTTCAAATTTATCCTGATTCAGAAAATTTCACAATTAAATTATGGATAGTACCTAACAAATAAAATTAAAATAACTAAAGACGTAAGAAATATTAAGATAAAGGCAATGTGATATTATTACGAATAAAAAGCTCTTCCTGTATTAAAAAGCAAAAAATAAATAAAAGAAGAATAATACAAATTTAGAAGGTGGAGACTTTAGCAGCTTTTATGTTCTAGTCTTCGATTGTCCTCATCTTCCCGCTGCAACTAGATGGTAAATATTGACAGAAATAGTCCCACATCGGAAAAGCATTTGAACAAACATAGAACAAATAAACAACCCCAATCCAGCGCGAATCTTGAAGGCCGAAAAAAATTAGAAAAATGGCAACTTTTCAGGCCGAAAGCCGCTCGCAGGCGGCGGCGAGATTCTCGGTGGTGCGGGCCAGAGACTTGAGATTGCACTTAACGATGGTGTCAACGAAGACACGGGTATCCTCTCTGGTGTTCCCCGGCGGCACGTCCACCACATAAGACTCCACCACAACGGTGCCGCCGCCAGCAGCGGCAGCGGCCGGCTCGGCGTGCAGTGTGGTCACCGACCGGTAGTTAGCGAGGCGGTGCTCGCCGCCGATGACTCGAAAGCTGAGCACGTGGCGCTCGTCATCGAGAATCTCGAGCCGTTCGGTGCTGTTCTCCGCCGGCAGGCCGGAAACTACCCGGACTTCCCGGAGAGTACCAACATCGCCATTGCCGACGACGACGTGGCAGCTCTTGACGAAGTGCTTGTACGCCTGCGGGTTATCGAACCGGCGGACGACGGACCAGACCGAGTGAACCGGAGCGGCGATGGGTTGAACGACGGTGGAGCAGCACTGGTTGGGCCCCACGGCGTGGTTGTGATGGCGAGCGACGGACTCCGGCACGGCGTGGGCAGAGCACCGTGACGTATCCGTTGGCGGAGAGGACTTCGCTGGGACGACGGAGCCGGTGGGGGTTAGGCGGTGGAGTTGGACAGAAGCCTTGGGTGCGGTATAAGGCATAATGGAGAATGGAGAAAGCGGTGCTGTGTTATTACGGGAGAAGGGGAAGAAGCGATAAAGAGTAAAGGGTGATTGATGAATGGGGAGGTCTGGATTTCGGTTTTGTTTTATTTAAGAAGCGGTTCGCCAAGTTGGGATTTTTTTTAATTTTTTTTTGCGAGTTGCGGTTTGCAAATGGGCGGGGGTGGGGCCAGGGCTGGAAAATAAAAATATTTTGGTGGACTTTTCAAGGTCATATTGTTGGAATAAGAAAAGCAAAAATATATGGCCAAGAATTTCTTGAAAATTAAGGAGTATGAAATATATGTTTTTTTTTTTTTTAAATTTTTGCTTGCTTGAAGTTATTTAGCTTTTATTTAGGTGAGCTAGTTAATCAATGTTCTCTTGAATAAAATAAGAGTGGATGTATTCTTCTCAGCACTTTAACTGATCCAAGTGAAGAAAATTGAGTTTAGTTTTATGGGTTGTATAATTTTATGAATTTATTGGAAGTTTTATATATTTTTTCTTTGTAAATTATATATATATA